ACCATTGTCTTGTCCAGCACACATTACTGGGCAGAGCCTCTACTCAAAATCAGTGAGATTTTAACTACATAAGACCCAAAGGTCTCTGTTGCTTGTCTCTTCTCATTGTATTTGTTGCTAAGGCTAAGGCCTTACTCTTCCATAACAATTAATTCAAATACTACAGCTACTACTATGAAGCATTAGATTTTTTTCTACCTAGCCTTTAAAACAGGCATTGAAAAAGCCTCTCCAGCTTTTATCCAGAAATTCCCTGAACTGAATTTTCAAACTCAATTTTTTTCATTATTCTGAAGAGAATCACAAAGTAAAAGCTCAGCACATCTATTCTCGCTCTCTCTGAAGAGTTATTGCCTCAGATACCACATATGCAACATTTTGTATCTGTACAAAGTTTACGATACCTGAGTGAGATATGCAAATGTGCAAGTTTTTCATGGATATCAGAGCAGACCTTGAAATGAATTTGCTTTCTGCAACCTCTCCACAGGAACAGTTGAGGAGGTCGAAGTTTTGTTTGGCTAGAAAAAATTGGGAGAGCAAATACCAAAAAATTCTCCCTGAAGGCAATGTAAGTGCATGTGCACAAACGTGTATATGTGGTCACGTGGCCACACAACAAATACAACGTATGAGCCAAATTTTGTACATCGGGGTTTACTTAGAGAAGACAGCTCTTGAGGACCCGGCAACCCATGTACACCACGATGTGTATAGCACTGATTCTGTCATTTATATTCAAGTGACAGAGCTTGAATTTCCTGACTGGTCCAGAGAATAAAATACTGCCACTACATTCCCCTACTACATTTGTGAAATTGCAGGTGTTTTGCAAGCCTGTAGGTAGATGAAGTCAATCAAATTAATCATTCTGAAACATTAGATTCCCTTTAGAATAGTTTTGCTTTATAGATTCCTGAGTCTGACAGGTATCATCTTCCATATTTCACAGAACTGTTAGCTGATGTAAGCAGGATTGCATAACTTGCTCAGGTCACCTGTCAGGTCTGTGATGAGACGAGGCTTTAAGCTCAAAACCCCCTTGAACTCTTGATTTTTCAGCACAACAGATTTGGGCAGGAAGTAGAGGATGCCTTATCCAATAGAGCCAAGGTGGAATTTAGGCAGGCCAGTGCAAAGGTGTATGACAAAATATGGCCAGCAAAGCAAACGTAGCAACCTTAACCTTTGGAAAAACAGCACAGTATATTAAACCATCAGAAGTTAATGAACTTGGCATTACTTCTTAAAGTCCCACATCTATGGATACCACCGCTGGGTAGGTTCTTTCTTCTCCTACACACAACTGACATCTTTTTGAGTAATGTAGCCATGCATGAGTTATTTATTGACCACATTTTAATGAGCGTTCTTTCCATGGACTGTGCTGCACCAAATGCTTATTTTCAAAGGTTTCTAGTTTATTACTTGTATTGTGGTAAGATAAGAGGCCAGCTGAATGCTAGGGTCCACTGTGGCATTGCATACATATGGAAGTTGAGAGCTTTTGGGCAAAATAAAAGCAACAGCATAGTTAAATAGTAATTCCAACTAAATAAGAGGCTTTAGACTCCAGGTCTATTTTTTAAATCATGAAACTAAAATAATTATGGTATCAAATAAGAATACATCAGCATAATTTTCTTGAAGATGCACAGCACTTACTGCTGCATTTTAGAGCAACAGTACCATATGGGAGAATCTAGTTCAGTCTTCTCAAGATAGCTGAAACTGCTCTCTGCAGTAAGGTGTAGGTGTCTGCAAATTACACAGCTTCTTGAGTCAGTGCCGATCTAGATTGCTCCATTCATAATTAGACTTTTGATTGGTACCTATCCAGATCATCTCATTCATAGTATGATTTACAAGTAGGGATGGAGACAGACAGGCAAAGCAGTAATTGAGGGAATACCAGAAGAACTGTTTCACATAACAGAAGTATTTCTTACGCCTGCTATTGTCAGAAATTCCTGAGACAGTTCGCTTTGCAAATACATGTCCATCAGCCACTGAATCTGTCCCCTTTGGGGATGGCTCCAGCCCAGCTTAAAATCAGAGTTGCACAGCACATGCCCACTGCATCTGGTAACTAGCAAACCCAAAAATCCAGTGAGTGTTTTAAGTTGTGCTTACTTCAAAGACTTCAAGACTATAAAGGGTGCGGAGTGTAAATGTTCAGGGATCTGCTCTTTTCTTAAATATGCACAACATATTAACCTGAGCAAAAGTCACAAACATGTAAGTGAAGATAACTTTAAAGTAAGCACACTCTGAAAAGAAAAATTCAAATGACTGATTCTAGCTACTCCAAACACTAGAGCTCATCGCCATACCTTGGCTATTTCTTTCTCCCCTATACGCAGCATAGAGGGAAACAATACCTGAAAAGTTACCAGGCCTGATCCTGCAGGACCCTGAACTCAAAGGAATTGAAGGTAATCGGCAGCAGCACTAGGCCTTGTGGTTTTGTGTGACATGAATTAAACTGAAGTCTATGTACAATGTCAACTACTTGCAGTCTAGTTGTGTATTTTAAAGGCCAAGAGAAACACTGAGGAATATTTTGTGTTCTGCAGAATATATATTTAGACTTCTTTTACCTGGATAATGTTCTTCACTAAGGTAGCTGGATTTTTTTTTTTTTTAATGTCTAAATACCCACTCTGTTTTACTTGGTAGTACAGGGGAAATTGTATATGTTATATGGACCTAATGTTATCAGATAAAAATCAACTGCTACACGATATTCTTGTCTTCAGTGAAGAAAAGCAGAGCTATAAACTTGCAGAAAATTACCTCCTTTTCTTGTGTTTCAAATGAGAAAATTGCTGTTACTCAAGCAACACTAGTTGACAGTTACAAGGTAGCGTAGTGAACTAAAAAAAGATTTTCACTTGTGTACAGCTAACTTCAACTTGACATAGTATTAAAAGCAACAGGAGGGAGGGAAATCAGTCAGTCTTATCTCTTTGACCATTACAAAAGCACTGGATTCCTGCTGAGCTGTTCAGGAAAACCAAAGAAAAGCAATAATTCTTGAACAAGAGGTTGACACTGTAGATGGTTTTGCAGAAGTGTAACACTTTCAGAGAAACTTCTGCTTTTACCCAATGTCTTTGATAGAGCTTTGTTGTTCATGTTTGTAAAGAAGTCTTTCACCTGATTTCTGTCCTGAACAAAGGAACTGTAATTGGCGATGAACATCTCTTCTTTGAAGTTAGAGAAATAGTAAATTCTTTGACAGATCCAAAAAGAAGCAAACCAACCCAGCAGCTTTATAAAGGAATAGAAAAAAAATACCAATCTTAAACATTACCACTTGGAAGTCTCCATTCCCCTTAGGTATTCTCATTATTTTATTCTTCACATAATAGCTTTTCCATCTCTCATTCCCTCCAATCATTATGAGGTAGCCTTAGCTTTCTATATTGAAAAACACTGATCATGAGGTTAAGACATACCTGAGTATTTTCTAACAGGAAAGGTATTATCATTTGGCATGATCTCTCACAATTCATTTTTGTATCTAAAACTAGAAGTCTGCTCTAAAATTGTATATAAGAAACACAAGTAAAACTTTAAGTTCTTTTTCTATAAAGCAAGAAAATAAACCTGTTGGTTTGTGTTTTTTTGTTTTGTTTTGTTTTTTCAAACAAGAAACAAACAATCATGGGCTCAACAGGTGTACGAAATCAGGCAATACATGAAGAGAGTTCTGGTCTACACACATAATTAATCTTAAAAACTAAGATGGCCAAATTTTGTGAAAGAAATAAAAAAAGAAAAAGAAAAAGAAAGACGAAAAGAAAAAGAGAAAAAAAGATAAAAAGAGAAAAAGAGAGAAAAAGAAAAAGAAAGGGAAAAAAAGAAAAATAAAAGGAGAAAAGGGAGAAAAATAAATAAAAAGGAAAAAGAAAAAGAAAAAGAAAAAGAAAAAGAAAAAGAAAAAGAAAAAGAAAAAGAAAAAGAAAAAGAAAAAGAAAAAGAAAAAGAAAAAGAAAAAGAAAAAGAAAAAGAAAAAGAAAAAGACATAACCTATAGTACATGTAAACAATTCACCCTGCATTCTATATACAGGTCCTCTATAAAGCTAATTTTATGAAAAACAAAGGCAGAAACCTAGGATTTAAAAGATATAGAACAGATAACATTGTGCCCCCAAAACCAGTTTCAGCCCCTAAAAACAGAACTGGAATTCACAACGTTTAATAGAGAATGGGTAAGAGTAACCTGAAATTTTTACTTTTTCAGCCTGTCAAAACTGACATTTTATCTGAATGGCAACAATCCTTCCAAATTAATTGGTCCCCAGTACATCGTTTCAGGTCTCAAACACAGCTAACAAAGAAATTAGAAAATAGAAGGATAGCTTCAAATACACGAGGAAACATCCAGTGTTCTTTCAGAGCAGCTTTGAAATACCTTAATTAAAAAACACATCCAATTTACATCTCAGTGAGTCATTACATATGACTACCGTTGCCAGGTTCACAAATATTTTTAAAGTAACAAAACAATCCATGCACATTAAAGACATTTTAAAGTAACGCTGTAATGAAAAGAGAAAGGGATTAGTATTAAACTCCTCCTGTGTGCAAAGTGGAGAAAAGGAAACTCACAGAAAGCCCAAATCCTGTTTACAATAGACATATGACCAGAATTGCCTAAGAGGGGCTCTAACTGCAGCCTCCTGACGAGGTCTGCCTGAGGAAGCCTCTCTGTACCACGAGCCCCATTTTGCAACCACGCAACAAAACAAGGAATCCCAAACTAGATTTCGGTTGTGAGCATTTTGCTCTGGCTGGAAAGCAGCAGACTGAAGGGGACAAACTCCCCGCAACGGCAGCAGCTGCTATCTAACATACTACCATAATTATTTAATAATAACTTACAAAAAGCCACCAAAAATAGAGTCACTTCTTTAAAGGAAGGGTGTTGTCATGCCAGGCTGTATTTTCCCGGTGAGCCACTGAACTCCGAGGTACGGAGCTGTCTCTTACCTGAGCTGATCATACTGTGCATTCTTTGCTGAGCCAAGAGCTGTTCGCGTCCAGAAACCCCATCTGAGGAAAAACACGATTCACTCTCGTAAATTGTCTGCAGCATATTCCAACTGGTCTGCACTTCAGCTACACGAGAGATTCATCACTGCACTTGCACAGGGGCGTCAGGCGCGACCCTCTGTGGTCCTACCTCCTCCAGCGAGGGTTGTAAGATAATACACTTCGGCAATTAGCAACGTTTAAGCATTTGCACAAGTATCTATCGGGAGAGGGGGGGAAAAAAAAAAAAAAAAAACAAAAAAACCAAATCCACGCTCGGCAGCCCCCGCCTGCTGGAAGGGAGCCGTGGGCGCGCGGGGGGCTGTGCGCCGCCGAGTTGGAGCAGTTGCGTTCGGGCAGCCAACGGCAGGTGGAAGAAGAAATGAAGAAATATCTCTGCGCTTCGGGCTTTCTGGTAGGGCTGGGGGGGGGGGGGGGGGGGGGGGGGGAAACACAGCCTCTTAACAAACCATCAAACCGAATAAGCCACCTTTCCAGGGACCAGGAGCCCCCGAGGGTTTAGTGTGAATTACCCCAGCCCGGACCAGAGTCGCTGTCCCCGCGCCCCTCTCCTCTCTCCCCTGGCCGGGCGGCTGGGCGAAGTTGGCGGGAGCAGCAGCGATAACTCATTTGCATTTGAATCGACACCCGCGTGGCCCAGCGGCGGCAGAAATAGAACAATGGCCGGCCTGAGCCAAAAATAGGTCAAGCATGGCCGGGTGATTGGAGCCTGCATTAATGCGTTTAAAAATACCACAGCAAACACAGCTGTCCAGTCTCTGTCTTTCAAACCGCCGGCCGCCCTCCCTCCGCTGCTCGGCCTCGAGCGCGATTAACCCCTTCCCCCTGCCCAGCCCGTTTCGGTGGGGAGAAGCCAGGGAGCGGGACAGAAACGCTCCTCGCCTGGGACTCGGGCCCCCCTCCCCTCCTTGCCCTCCCCTGGGGAGTATTTTGTGAAAAGTGAGCAAAACGCCACGGCCTCTGTATCGGTCCTAAAATAACGCCGGGAGGTTTTGCTGGCGATGTGGTTTCTGCCTCGCCCACGCGCAGCCATCCTGCTGTTCTATTTTTGCTGCCTGTTTCTCTGGCTACACCGCAGTTGGCTTTGGCAGGGGAGCCGGGCTGCTGCCTGCTCCCTGCAGGACCTGCAGCCACCTCGGGAGAGGCGATTTCTGAAGCTAATCAGGTTGGGGGGGGGAGCAGAAGGTGGGGGCAGATGTTAACGAGGGACTGGGTTTTGTGCGTGCAGTTATAAGCAGCCTTTCTGTATTTAGCATGCTTGCTATAATTCTTATATTAAGTCACCACTTGTGGCACAGCATGTTAGACATGCTTACCGACCATGTACTGTTCGGTTGACTTGCTAAAATTTGGAGAGGGGCTGAGCAGTTCACACTTATTTTTAGAAGCATTAGGCAATTTGCACGACGCCTTTCTCAGTTTTACAAGATGATGTGGTTTCAGACGAACAGCATTTGACAGTGTATCAGACAAGAGCACCATGCTCCTCTGCATCTTAGCAGGTTTCATGCATGCTCTGTGAAGTTTATTTTTCGTAAAGGTGTTTCAAAAGTTGCATATCTTGTTTGCCAATTAATACACCTGCAGGCAGCTAAGTTTCATTTCACTGTTACAGATGGTACTTTACTTCCCTTGGTCCTGCTCTGCCTTATAGCACTTGTTACACAGGTGACCAAAGCCTGTCGCTACCTACATATGTGATACAGCAGCCTGACCACTCACCTACCAAAATCACAAGTCCCCTTCCATATCCCTGCTCTAGAGGAGCATCAGTGGCCAGAGGGACTTGATTCCTCACTGCAATCAAGAAGCCAACACAGAAGTTGTCTTGGACCTTTCTAGAAATCCACCAAATTCTCAACTATCTCCGGCATTTTTTGTTCCTGAAGACACAAGAATCTGCCTAAAACTTGAGGCTTGGTTCTGTCTTTTGGAGAAGGATCATCTGCCTGCTCTTCAACTAACACCATAGATTGTAGCCAAGGGCAATACTATTTTTTTCTTTTAAAACTTCTCGCAGCTGTGTTACTGAAGAAGAGATTCACAGTAACAAAGTACCGTGACACTCCTGGGACGTTTGGATACTTGATGGCACCTGGGACATCTGTGGCTTAAGTCTCCTCCATCATCCCAAATCTTTGCTTCCTCCATGTGCCAAATCACCTGGTCCTCCTGAGAGTTAGGATCTGTGCCCCGGACAGACCGGAGACTGCATCAGCTGACAACGGGATTTTCCCTGCAGGACCCTCAAGTTAGCACCTATCGCTGCTCAACACCCCTCTCTCCTTGCCTTCTCTCTTCCCTCGCCACCAGTCTTGCCCAGGGAAAGCCCCTGGCGAAGCGTCAGAGCTCTGCAGATGGCACAGCCCCAGCTCTGCAAAGGGGCAGGGGCACGGGCAGCGGTGGCACAGCGACAGGCTGGGTGTTACAGTGCAAGACCCGGGATGAGCATCGCACCTACTATCGTACTGCTGACAGCTGACAATTTGGTATTGTGAACATTGCCTTTTGAAAATAAAAATACCCAAATGTTTTGTGGGAAATACGTGGCACTTTCACAGTACAGGGCAGAAGACGTTTAACACAAGTGCAGTGGGGATCACCAGGAGAAACAGGAATCTTCTCTAATGCAGAAAAAGCTTTTTATAGACACAAGTAAATAAAAAAGTGGAATTGCTTATGCCCTTGAGCCAACCAGAAGATGACCCTGTTTAGTGATTCCACGCCTCAAAATAATCAAGTCTCTTATTACAGGGAAACACTGGAGGAATAAGTTAGAAACAGGTCAGAACATGGAAAACTGTGGAGTGTGGGATCCTGGGATCCTGGTATTAGGTACCCATATATGTTTATAGTTTCTTATATACGTAGCTGCATTTTTAAAGATAGCATTCACAGCTCTAACTGACTTCAAATCTTCAAATACTTCAGTAACTAAATAAAAGCAAACTATATCCAAGAGGAGAAAATGTACATTGAGATATTTAGCTGCAAGCATTCTTAATTTTGGCATATGTATTTTAAACTGATAGACACATAAACTAGCCTACGTTAGCTAATTCACAGACTGTAATAACTACAGCATTGTGCTTTATATTTTAGATGACATATAAAAATTCTATCAAAATATTTTACTTATGAAGTCAGTCACCTCAAAGGTAGGGCTTTTACAACCTGAATTCTTCTGACATGCTTTGACGTATTATGGGCCTACTTTGGTACATGCTTAGCTTTAAAACATGTGTGTAAATCTATCCCTTTTCAACATAATATTTAAGCACATGCTCAAATTCTATTGATCACAATAGAATTTAAGCACATAGTTAAACACTTTGCTGAGTCAGCCCAGCCTTTAACTGCATGATCACATGAGTTTAAATAGCTCCTTTAGAGTCCCAAAGGGGAAGGATAAAGGGCTTAAGCCTGAAGAAAATCTGGTTCTTATTTTTAAAGCAATGGATGTTATAAGGTGACATTTTCATACAGGAACATGAGTTTTTTTGTTCTGTTTTTTCAAGTGCATTTCCTAAACTTGGAGAGCTTTAATGGCACTGGAGGTAAGAGCAAACTGTTGAAATGATTTAGTGCTGCTGAGGTGACTCTAAATGCAATCAGCAACTTTACAGAAAACGTAAGGCATGTTAGTAGCACTAACATCTCATTACAGAGGTTTCACAATGTGTTTCTCTTATTTTCCTTCTGAGTTGTTAAAAACAAATAAATATAAGGAAATTAAATCTGGAAACCACATTACTACAACATTAAGGCTGAGAAATTAAACACTCAAATTAGAAAGAGCTAAGATTTCTACTGCATTATTAAGTCTGCAACATTATAATTAAGTAGCACTTTTCTTACTTTCCTTTTTAAGTACAAACAGTATATTACTGGTTGTTTTTAGCATATCCTATTTCTCACTCACATTATTCTGGAACATAGCCTTCATTAATATTAATAGCTTAGGTTCAACTTTTGCAGTTTTCTTTCTTGTAAATGTATTCTTGCATAGATTTTTCTACCATATTGCTCAGTTGTATCTTATAAAATATTACATACAAACTTAAATAAAAAGATGTTCTCTAGCTTCTAGTGGTATGCTTAAATGAGGATACTGCAGTCTTACAGGTGTCCCATTCAACCTTCTTTCAGTCCCTTTTTCATTTGGCAAGAGAAAATGCAGCAAGTAATAACATGAACCAATATCAAACAATGCATGAGCAAATGTGAGCTAAATTAAGGTTGCATGAATAGTATTAAATCTGGCCTATTTCAGTACTGAAGGTTTGAGTTCTAATCTTTGCAGCCTAAAGAGCTCCTAACTATTTGTATATCTAATCACCAGGATTTAAAAAAAAAAAAAAAAGAAAAAAAAAAAAAGAAAAAAATTAACTATTGTATACAACAGATGTTTCTGTAACCACAGTTCATTAGATACCATTAGTATCACATGAAAGCCAAACATCCAGCATAAATTACTACAGCTTATGCTAGAGGATTAACTAGGTTAACGAACATCAGAAGAATATTATCACAGAGAAGCAGATGGTTTGGGAGCAGAAAGAAATCAGGGGCGCTGCTCAAGTGGTCTGGTTCTGCCCCTTCCTGGAACTAAGGGACTGTATTACAAACCCCTGGGGGAGTTAAAATGGATCACTTAATCTGTGTGCTCTGGTTGGAAATATGTAGTGCGGGAATGTCTCTGATCAGTTTTCTGTGTAGAAAGCCTTTGGCATTGCCTGTGCAGGAATAAGTGTTGCTTTTTCTCTGCAGTGCTGTGAAACCACACGATGGGCATTTTTCAAGTGAGGAGAAAACTGTGATTCTAAACATGTTTAAACTCAATTCAATCTTCAAAGGAATCTTCTGGGACAAAGAAAGGCGCGTCTGTAGATTTAAGGGATTTTGTGACAAACAATAGGAGAATAAAACTTCAACAAAGTTTTGAGGATAAGGAAAGCTATGCTAGATAAATGTATGTGTCTCTATCATCTCTCATATAACAATACAGACAGCCTCACATATTTCTCATGCAAATTAGCTCAAGGTTTTTGGAACTAGCTGATGACTTATCACTTCTTTCTCCTTTTAAAATATGCCTTTCTGTTCACATAAATAAGACTACTAGAAATAAAGTCCTAGATTCAGGACAACACCTCAACAACACATACTTCATTATAAGCATAAGGCTTATGTTAAGCATATGCTTAAGGGCTTCATAAATTCAAAGGTACTTCCCTGAATCATAAAGCTCAAGTATTTTCAAAAAACACAGAGAGCTATCAAATAAATAATATTTAGGATAGGAAATACACATACAATTCAATTATTCTGCTGACAGAGTTATTTATCAGGTTGGAACTAAAATCTCCATATTTTTCAGCAAGGCTGAGCTAAATTGCATACAAGCAATACAAGCCATGTAGCCAAAAGCAAGGTCAGATATTGACAAATAAATGCCTCAGACCAACAGAGCGCTTTGCACCTTTTATGCCATTAAGTAGAGATATGAGCAATACAAGATTTACCAGGTCTGCCATGTTTACACCCAGTTTTCTTAGAGAGACATTAGTGCATATGTGCACTGTGTCTGCCACGTCTAGTTCCACCAGACACACCTGGGTGGATATACATAAAGGAACCCTAGAGCACATAACCTATGATAGCTTACAATATATTACCTGTGACAGCTTGCAATACATTCAGCATATTTCAGGCATCTCAAGCTTGTTGCACATCTACTGAGCAGGTAATCTATACCTCAATAGAGCATTCT